GCGCTGACCGGGACACCACTTTTGTCAGCTTAAGTCCAGTTTAATCTTCTGTAGTGCTCTTTTTGATTGTCAATCTTTTACTGAGTATATATGCTTATCCCGTCCTAGGAGAAGTGTATTTTATTGTATTTGGCTAAAATTCGTGTCTTACGAGTCATATGAGAAAGTGTGAAAGCAATTCACTCCAGTTAAGAAGTGATATCTAATGCGCGTGTTCTACAGCTTACTGTGTCTCTATAAATGAAAGTTTTACAAAAGAGCGGTAACCGAATTTAGTTTTTTGCGCTATGACAATGATTCCAATAAAAAGTAGAAAGAGAACGAAAAAAAATGTCCGAAAACACGTTAAGAAACCAAGCTTTTCTTTGTGATAGTTTGGAGGTCATTAGCGATTGGCGGCTTTTATATATTCTTTTTATTACTTCGAAATACTGTTTTTTATGTTCCAAAAGAATTTGCAAACATGTTTCGACTAGCCTGTTCCAGGCGTTCGGACAGGACAAGGAAAACTACGAATGTAACGACATACAAACAAAATGAACCTTCTATTATATTATTGGTGGATAGCAAGAGACGATGAGGTACCTCATAGTCTCTTGTGGATAGCAAAAGACTTGATTAACCTTCGCTGGTTTATGATATGGCATAGATAGGAAAAATTGATTTGGAGTTACACACGAACTTTGTTAGGCCGTTTTCTTGCAAATTGCAGCTCGATTTTCCCTGGCAATGACTGTACCTTTTCCCAATACTTTATTATGCAGCAATCAAATGAATAAACTTGAATATTTAGGAATGATTTGCAAGATTTCTTTTGTTTCTGCTAATTAAGCATTTTTCTATCTGCATGACTAAAAATAGAGTTCGCAAAAATAGAGTAAGTGAAAAATGGAGTATTGAGGTCAGTCTCATTCTCTACTTATCACTAAACCAGCTCCGAGATCCTCGATCCCTAATCTTTATGGAGATTTGGACTAGATTAATCGAAGGACAAAATTTAAAATTGCGATATCGGTGTTTCGCCACGTTTTTTTGCGGTGATGCGGTGTTTGTTACTTTTTTCCGCGGTGTTGCGATGTGGACAGTCCCCCAATGTCCCCCTCATCATTATACCTTAAACCCTTACGGAACAGTAATACATTTCTTCACGTAATTTATAAATCGAAAAAGAACTGAAAACAAACTTGTTATGCATTCTAAACAACGTCTTTCCATATAGCAAGATTCGAACACGAAAACGAAATGCGAAGAAAAGCATTAAAACAGAAAAAAAAATTGGAATCCAGCCCTTTTTGGAATCCGGAATCCACTGAGCTGGAATCCGGAATCCAGTGCTCGGAATCCGGAATCCACAGGGTGGAATCCAGAATCCACGACTGTCATGGATTCCCTTACATGGGGCGATCTGTATGTTTTGGCCTTCAGTTCGAGAAAGACAAAAGGACGTGAAAATTTTAAGATCTGAACAGCAGTAAACTAATGTCGAATAATAGATGTTTCAAGTCAATTCACCAAATTAAATTGATGTACATCGTGCACAAAAGGAAGAAGATCTCAGAGTCAGTTTTATTAAAACTATTTATTTTTGATAGCAATTATGTTGGGAAGTTAAAGTATTACGGAGCTTTCTTTTTACGTGAAAAACAACAAGAGCAGTTTGGTTTATGCCCACTTGTCCGACTTTCGCTGCATATTGGACTGAAGAAAATGTCATTTCGTCTAAGGCCAACGAAATTTCCATAAAACTGAGACGTTCACGGTCAACGCTAAAAAGATATCGATAACTTTGCTTTTTTCGTACGTGTGGTCACTGACTTTAACTTAAAATTTACTAACATTAAAATGTTTAGTTTCTTATATCCAGTAGTCTTAGTACAAAATACTGCAAATTGTAAGGATTAAAACCCTTAAAAATGATGTTTTGGTTAAAACCCTTACAATCAGCCTTAACACATGTGGCAATTTAAACGACGGTAGTTTGATTATGTTTATCTCACATGTGTCTTCTCCTCTTTCCCAGCTTTTAGTCATCGCCAGACTGACAACTCAAGCTATTATGATCGCAGAATTACCGACTTGAAGGTACACGATAAAAATTCATGCACAGCTGATTCACTTGTAAAATTCGCCCTTCAACAATGAAGAGATACCCGCCAGCGATAAACAGGCAAATGATTAGCCCCAGAATTACGATCAATTCACTTAGTTCACTTGGTATCTGCATGGTATCATCTTACATTCATGTAAAATGTTATAGTTGAGACTAGAAAGAACCACTCAAAAAAAAAAAGCGTTGCGTTGGATGATGGAATTGCAGATAGTGAGTGTACAGAGGTTTTCCACCAGGGAGCTAGAAGTAGAAAACTTGTAGAATAATATAAACAAGTCCGTAATACTGACATAATCGTAAACTGCATTGTTATCATCTTAAATATATATTTGTTTATTGCATTATATTCTAGCTTAGTTGTTCATTCATCTTTGCTAATTGTAAACCTTTCTAACGAAAAAAAGTCAGAGATAACACCAAGTCTTAGAGCACAGCAGAAGATAAAAGACGCCATCAGTCATTGGATGAATCAATAACTGTCACCACCGGTAGTAGCAACCAACAGCATTGCTGCTCATTGCCTTAACTTGTTCTTACGAGAACTTGAGCAAAGATATCACAGATTGCTCACGTGCTACTGCTGCACAAAATAGTCCGCAAAAGAAAGAAAAAATTAAAAGAAAAGTTTATTTGTACTTGGTGAATTCTTTTTGCATGTTACACCTATTGAATCTTAAATTTACTTTCTCCATCTTCTTCTTTGCAGTCTGCTTTCCTGTACTCAGAAAACGTAGGTAGGTAAGCAGTCTTACAAATTACCTTTTGAGTTAAAAGGGCGAATTTCTTGGCAAAGATCTGTAGCCTTGTTTTAAGTTTGTTTAAAAAATTGTCACGGTCTTAGTCCCACAAGTCCGATCAAGTTACTTCTCAGTATTATAGTTCTTCTTCGAGTTAGTAAATTATTCATTCTTCTGTTCTTGAGTTGCTTGGTAATGCTTGCGTTTAAAGCGAGTTCAGCCTCTTAAGAATTCCTTAAAGTTTCGAGGTTGTCACCGCGTGTTTATCAGTGAAAAAAACGCCACTGTCAGCAAGCCACAAAAGAAATGCGACAATTAAAAGCAGGCCTAATTTGTTATTTTTTTTCAACGTCGCGACAGAGTTGTTCAGAATAGACTGTTAGATAATGGTGATAGATAGCTTATTCCAAACGAGATGTGTGTCATTTCGAAAGTCCTAAAGAATATTTTTTCAGAGCAGTTTTGAGTTTAGTGAGGCAAATTAACCCAAACTGGGATTGTCCGCATTACTAGGAAATTATATCAAATGAAAAGTAATGCAAGATTCTATTGTGAAGGGCGCCTTACGCCACAGTGTGTGTAAAGGTGAGAACGTACGAAGTAATAAAAGCAGTTAAGAATCGTTAATCCGCTAGCTTATGCATAAAATGCCACAATAATGGAAATAATCTAAAAAGACAATAATTATATAGTAGTTTTAGTGTATAAATCGGTGTTTTATATGTCGAAGTAGTAAATCTTGATGGATAACAGATAGGCGTTATTAAATTTTTTTTTTTTTGAAAAGAGAAGCGTATCATTTCAGTCGAAAGTCCGAATGAATGTTTTTACAAGGGTAGGTTTTCTTTTATAAAGCAAAATAAATCTTAGATTACCAGTAAAGAAAACATTTCAAAGTTATGTACGATTCCAAGACTTATTTTAATGGTGTATTCGATAGCTGAAAAACGCACCAAATAAATAACGTAGCTACCAATGCAATCTTAAAGACAGTTAAGAAAAATAATGTTGCAATATTTAACGCAGCTAAAGGGTAATCTCCTTTTTTGTCAGATCTAAAAATTATTGTTTCAGCGCCATCTCTGTACGTTTTGAACATGAGCCCGTGTCAAGCTGACGAATGTAATTTGACGGAGAATTTTTATGACGGAAAGAGCCTTCAAGTTCTAACGGAGCTCGTTCTCTAAGATGAAAGGAATAAATGACGACTGAAAGAAAGTTTATCATGAGAGGTCCTATTAAAGGCATGCACATAAAGGCGCAATAGCTTCTATGATTTGGCAAAATTCCCCGCTGGTCCGCGAACAAAAAATTTCCAGAAAAGTTTGAAAATGAGTAATCCGAGTTTAAGAATGGAGAGCAAAAAAGCTTTGAATTACTGGACAGTTGGCTCAGAAAAGAATGAAATAAACACTTAAAATACTTTCCGTATTTTAACACGTTGTTAGCATGATCATACTTGTTTCTTACTCAAACAAAGAAATTTTAGACGGCTGCTCTCATTGGTCAATCCAGAAATGACTTAGCCAATGGGAAATTTCGTCGTTTTTTCGCATTTCTTACGTCACGAACCCTTCAACTTGTTTTAGCATGCAACGTAAAATAATAAAGCAAAAGGAAAAATCTTACAATTGGTCAATTAAGAATCCATGCAACCAATAAGAACTCTTTTAGCATGTTGTATTTAACAATCTCTCCAACTTGTCCAAAACACGTTTGAATTCAAAATAAGGTCAGTAGAGAACATAAAAACCTCAGCATTGTGCGGGGATTTATCATTCCTCCTCGGATGTCTACAGACATACAAGCAAGCTTAAGGTAGGTTTTCAATGCTTTTTAGATTTAACTTGGTAACTATATACTCATATCAACTTTCAATTTTTTGGTGCTATTCTAGCTTAGGGTTTTAAAAGTTTCATCTCCGTCATTTGATCTTAATTACAAAAATTACAAAAACCGTCGTTTGATGTCAAAGTTATATTTATCGAAGTACGTAGTTGTATTCTCTCCACGAAGGTACTGAACTTTCACTAATAAACCTAGCACACGATTCTCATAAGAGGTTATCGCCCTGACTGATTTGTTATCGACTTTTGTGCTGAGTAGCAAAGTTGCAACCAATTTTTTTGATTGTATTCACAGGTTCCACAATCATGCAATCCTATATGAAGATACCGCTGGCCACTAAGTTATGTGTTCTGCAGTTACTACTGATCACCTTCTGTTTTGCAAATGACAAAAACAGGAGCAAACCAAGTGACAGGGTGAGTTCTTTTAATCTTTTAATCAAACATTGAGTAATCGGAAAATTCTCTAGCAAGGATATATGCATGTATGAAGTTCCTAGCCTGAGAGAATGGAATGAAGTAAGATGGAACGGAATATTGACAACTTGGGGGGTGTTTAATGAAATTTGTTGTAAGACGAATGAAAAGTGGTACAGTTTAACAAGCTATTTACGTAAAAAAATGGAAAGAATAAAAGAATGTTTTATGAATGGCCGGTTTGATTTGGTGACTCCATCAATGTCTGGGTGTTAAGCGAAAAAAAGAAAAGACGTGTAGATTTTTTTTACATCTACAGTTCCGAAAATGTCTTAAAGATTTATTTAAGTTAAAAGATATTTAGAGCCAACAAGAGATAATGAAGCCAAAGAAATTGCTCCCATAGGACAATAATGCCTCTCGCCTTTTAACATTCCTTTAGAACACCCCTCAAAAGACCTCATTATATGGATCCTGTGGTCATGGTGGGTGTTTCTGTGCACCGGGAATTCCAGGCATCCCAGGAAGTCCTGGTTCTGCGGGATCAGCAGGTGTTGCGGGATCACCCGGTAATCATGGACCTGAGGGACCCATAGGCCCACGAGGAAACAAAGGCGATGAAGGAGCCCGTGGAAGACAGGGACCACTAGGTCCCAGTGGTAACAAAGGTGAAGATGGTCCCCCTGGCCCCAAGGGACCTCAAGGACCCTCAGGTTCAGCTGGTTCCCCTGGAAACAAGGGTGATACTGGTGCTCGTGGAAAGCAAGGTCCCACTGGCCCCAAGGGACCTCAAGGACCCTCAGGTTCAGCTGGCTCCCCTGGAAACAAGGGTGATACAGGTGCTCGTGGAAGTCAAGGTCCCCCAGGTCCTAAGGGTGCTCCAGGATCGTTTGGTCGTAATTGGAAACAGTGCGTTTTTAAGAAACTGAGCGATTCAAGGGATTCTGGATTGATAAAGGTAAAGACTCAGTTTACAGTTAAAGAAAATTGTGAGGTTAGCCTAAAGTAAATAAGAGATTAACTAACTTCAGATTTGAAAATTCTAGTTTTGTCAACTTTTTCAGGAAGAATGATTTTTATTAACTACAACGTAACAGGCCTGGAACTAACCCATGGCTGCCTTCAAATAATATCTCTTTATTCATTATTTAACATTAATTTTTTTAAGTCCGATTGTTTCAATTTTGGTTGCTAAAGTTGCTGATCTTCAAATGATAGATCTATGATGTTCTATTTATATTTTCACAGGAATGTATTTTCAAGAAGCTGTCAGACAACACAGCGCCACGTGTCTCCTGGACTGGTGCTCTTCGAATCCGTAACTGTGACGCCTGCTGCAGTCGATGGTATTTCACCTTTAACGGTGCAGAGTGTTCAGCTCCAGCAGCCATAGATGGTGGAGTCTACATGCAGTATGGACGTGGCAGCAGACTAAAGGATTTGCACCGCGTACGTCACATTGAAGGAGTCTGTGAGAAAATCCACAAAGGCACAGTGCGGGTGGGATTCTGGGTCGGCAAATGTAGCAGTAACAAGTCTGCTGATGCTCACACAGGCTGGCCCGGTGTGTCCCGGATGTACGTGGAAGAAATACCTCCCCCACAGGCTTAATAATAGCAGATTCTGATTTCCTTCTAACTTTAAGCGTGATTAACAAGCTATTTATGGACAATTTTGGTATTAGAAATAAGTTGAAACTGTCAAAAGAAGGGTGAAGGGTTTAAAAGATAGTTTGTAACACGAAAAAAATGTAAGAAATCTGCAAATGCAAAATAAAGCCACTTTAAGAAGTACAAAAGAAGTTTCTCTTTGCATAAAAAGACTTAAAGGGGCACTGTTACGAGAATTCTTGTTGTAAGTTCTAACGTTTTCAGTACCTATAATTAGACCAATGAGTCACTATAATTTGGAGCATAGTTGGTAGAGTGCTGGTTTGCAAAGCGGGAGAACTGGGGTTCGATTCTCACGGTCTAAACAATAGAGACCTTTAGATTCTAAGCGTGCGTAAAACAGCGTCATTTTGTAATTATGGTCATGGTAATTCTGCTACGAGTTTAAGCGAGAATGTCATGTTAGCGGACACAACTTATAGAGTGTTATAAGTTTTATTATTTTACGGCTGGGAGATAGCTTAACCTTCTTCAATCAAGATGACAATGCTAATTTTTGGTGAAAAAGATGTACAATGAAACTATCCAGGGTGTCTATTATTTGAGAGTACGCTAAAAAAAACTTTAAGATAAATTTTGTACTCGTAGACGTTCCCGTCCTGGTATCTAAAGGTCTCTAATAGCACGGGTCTTAAAATAACTGAACGGCTGCTAGAGCTTCGCGTGGCTCAGATATAGCCGCGTCAAAATGGCGGTCTCGTCTCCAGTAGGACACGTAAATACAGTGCCCTCATGCTCAATTAGTACCTCAGTGTTTGCTAAAGATTATGGCACGTTAAAAATAAAGTTACGGGTTTCTGTAATTTTCCATTTTAGCTTTTAGGGCGTTACATAACTTTCATGGCTCCCAATGTGCCTCTATTGGCCACTTATTCGATACTTAGACACGAAAATTCAAGGGGAGGAGAAGTGCAAGGAAGGACGAGGAAGGCGATCCTTTGTAGAAAACTGACTTTTCCATAAATCGTGGCTGGTCATCCATCCAGTTCCTAATGGCGCCCAACAGGAGTAAGCTGCACTGACTGAATCCGCGAGACTTTGCGAGACACGCACTTTCAAGTAATAGTATAATATTTGCGCTTTCGCACTAATCTGAAGTCTGTCTCCTGTTTAAATGTCGGTGATCAACAGACCATAGTACTTCAAACTTTTCACCATGCACTTTGGCAAGGATTGCGCCAATTTGTAAAAGTCATAGCTTTTTTTGTCTTAAAAATACTAGTTCTTTAGTAGTATAAACGTCTGGCGGTTTCCTCCATAGAAAGAGAATCCTTAATTATTAACAGACGGCAAAAAAAAAAAAAAAAAACATGGAATCTCGTTCCTAAAGACTCTTTTGTTCGTTACCCTTGATGCTTGGTACACACCAAAATGATGGCACCTTTGGTACCGAGATTGACGCGCATAACTAGCATGTAGCTTACGATACGGTAAAACGCGCAACAAAAACGGGCGACTTGTTTTGCAATATTGCTGCAAAACGAGTTAAATAGGGATACTGCCTGTTTTACCACCCACGAATCAAAACCTGTCTGCAACAGATCTTGGCCAGGTTATTGCAGGTAGAGGAAAGTTGTTGCAAAAAGTATAGAACAGTTCTACTTCTTCAAACAAAACCTGTACATGTTGCGCGTTTTACCGGCCCAAGGCAAACTTCGTAGTGTTTTGCAGCAAGTGACGTAGCTCCCCAGTATGGCGTGACTCCCGCGTAATTTTATCCAATCAGAAGTCAGTATTCACACAACTTGCAACAACCTGATTTGTTAGAAAACAGGTTTGAACGCAGCTAGTAAAACGCGAAACATAGCTTTCAAACTCGTTTCGCAGCAATGCCGCAAAACAGGTCTCACGTTTTTGTTAACCCTTTTACTATAGCTTTAGAGCTTTGGAGCATGCGCACATTTTGCTGATCGAGCACCCTTCGTCTGTGAATTCTAATTTCAATCAACTCTTTCAAATTCAGTCTCACGCTCCGTAAACAACCCACTAGCAAAAAATCTGTCCTTTATTTTTTATCTGCAGCTGAAAGGATCGACATGATGACGACAGATAAAAACCCAGTTTTAGTTAGTTTTTAATTTAGAAGCATGTAAACTATCCTTAGTTTTCAAGTAAGTTCTTCAGTCTTATGTCACTTACTGTGAATCCCCACGGGGGACTAATTTTTTTCAAGCACTTTTGAGGGGGGCTAAATAGAGAGGGGAGGGGCGAAGAGAGAAGGGGCTTATTAAATTTAGCGAAATGTATCAACGGGAGCAAGGTTTCTCGAGGACGGACTTGTGGTTACCGGACGTTATACTGCTTTTTCTAACAATAAGAAAATGGTAACAATCCTCCACAGAAAATCGAACTAGAGCAGAAAGTTGAAAAAGTTCAGCACATGAAGTTGGAGGTCATGCAGCCGAAGACCAAAACCAATATGAATTTCCAGCCTGAATAAATCATAACTGATCAGTCCACGTTAATTGTTTGTGAAGAATAAGGATGGTGGGGAGGGGGAGGTGAGGCTTAATAGAGGGGGGGGCTTGTCGACTTTCCTCCTCTGAAAAGGGGGGGGGGCTTATTAGAGAGGGGGGGCTTTTTAGAGGATTTACGGTATGTGACTTTCCTGAGCCAGCACATCATTACCATCTCGTCACTTAGGACGAGACTAAAGCAAAAAAAGGAGGGAACACTGGAAACGAGATTTTAAGATGCCGCAATATTGTGGTTTGTTACTTAGCAATTGCTTTTGATTAATCCGTGCGCTTTAATAGTTACCCAATACTAACTGATGACCTGAAGCACTTTCAGGCCAGGGGGAAATTAAGACAAAGAAAAACATTAATAAGTAATTGTAAGGTGTAAGACATCGGGTAATAAATAATTAAATTAATCACTAATGCTGTCAAAAGGAAAGTTGATGTATTGACAAGTAGCATAAGTTCGCCCTAAAAAATTGCATCTCATATGGGTCAAGGCGAGATCACAAAATAAACAGCAGACTATATCAGTATTATAGTAACAAAAAATCGTTGCTATTCGATTGGTCAAATCAGCGGTTATTTAATCTCTATTAGCCAATTATATATCGTGTTGGTATGAAGCTGACCACCATTGTACTCAATATGTTAAGTTCCTCTTTTATAAACACGATCTGACGAGAACCTCACTTAATATATGCACAGAAAACAAAAATTTTCACTTTCGGTGTGAGACGTTAACTTATACAACTGAATGGATATTTAGCGATAGCACAGTCTTGCGGCGAAAAGTCTAAGACTCGAAGAGACTGAAAGAAATTATACGTAACACACTCTGAAAAAAAGGGACCTAAGATGTCCTGCCAACGTTTCCAAGATTTTGAGATCAGTTTGCAAGACCCACGATTCTCTAGGTACTACTCTCTATCCTTACATTTTGATAGCAATAGTTTACATTGTTAATGACGATTATATTTTTTACTTGCTATGTTTCGTTTAACAGTTTTTTTCTCTTTGTCTTTCAACGGTCCTACTTCCTTGAAAGCGATTATGCATCAAATAATCGAGAATGTAAGTGAGTTTATTTATTTTGCAATGACGGGTAAAAACATTATCTGTTCACAAAATCAAACTGCCAGGGTCAATAAATAAAGCTGAATTCACATCCGCCGATACGAGATAAATTCATACAAACTTCGAGTTCACTTTAACATGATATGGAACGGGCGGAATTTTTGGCGAACAAAACTACTTCTATATAGTAAACATAATACTGAATAAAGTTCTGTGATTGTTAAGTTTCACAATCCACAACACTGAGAGTCAACTACTTGGACCCGCTGTAAAAAAAAAACATCTCAGTATGTGGCCGGGACCGAATCCTTCGAAATGACCATGTGAAAACCTCCATCTCTGTTAAACAAACGTAGAAGTTGAAGAACTTTCTCAGTTTTAAAGAGGAAAACAGAATACCAATAAATCAATGCCTGCATGATCAAGCGTTAAAAGATATGAATGTTTTATTGACTTTATATGAAAAGTCGTCTGGACTGACTGACAGCTCAAGCTGTTCTCGCAGAATCGAAGGTGAACGATTAAAATTTTTTACGTACACGGTGAATACACTTGTACGTTAGACAATAGTTTCGTGCTGTATCAACAAATTTGCCTCAGAATTACCATAAACTCATTTTGTTCACATTGGTATCTGGCACAGAATAAAAAGCTACAGTAGCTCATAATACATAATCTCAGACCGTACGGTTATTTTCATCAATATACAATCTCAGCTGAAAACTCCCCTTTGCAAAATTACAAACTTTAAATAATAATAATAATAATAATAATAATAATAATAATAATAATAATAATAATAGTAATAATAATAATAATAAAAGTTAGTGATCACATCAAAAGCAAATAGAAAACAAAGCATTGCTCGTTAGAATACAAAGTAGAATCGAATGTTCTCTTAACTTGTTATTACGAGAACTTAATCAAACAAATCGAAGATTGATTCACAACACTGTTGCACAAAACAGTTGTCACTGCGGAACAAAAATGACAAGACAACAATAAAGGATTCAATAAAATAAATTCTTTACATGTTTTTCTTTTAACTATTTTATCTCATAGTTCCTTTTCTTCTTTGTCTTTTCAATATGCGTACCTTTGTCTTTTCAAAAAACGTAGGTACTTGAAGTAGGAAATTATCCTAAAGATACTGCAGTCTCACAACTATAGTTGTGAACAACGACGTTCTCACAAATAAAAAAATTCAGACGAGATTCAGCACATTCATGAACAAAAAAAAGTAAGCAATCGTCCTTAGTCGGAGTCAAAAATTTTAATTAGTGTATTCTTTTACGGTTCAGTGCCAACTAAGCGACAAATTCAGTGCGATTTATTCTCGACTATAACTGATCGGTGCTCTACTGTAAAGTGAATTTCACGTTTTTAGAATTCCACGAACGTTTCGAACGTTACCGTGTTTATCAGTGAAAACGAAAAACTATTAAAAAGGCCGTTGTGACCGAGACACGGAATGCTTGCGAGAGTGCTTGCGAGATTATCTAAAGGAATAGTTAGGTTGCAGGTTCGAATCATTGGGAGTTTCAAAAAACGGAGGATTCCACTGGAAATCGGAATTCTACTGTACAGTTTCTTTCAAAAGGGTGAGGAGCATTTAATTCTGAAAGTCTCTTAGTTTGTTTTTAAAGCAATTTTAGTTTTAAATAACTCTAGATCTGGATTGTCCACAAGGAAAACAATATAGAGTTATCGGCCGGCCATTTTCCATTATAAAATGGAAAATGCTTAATCATGAAAAATGGAATCAACGACTTCCTTAAACCACAGTGTTTACAGCCTTACTTTCGAAGGCGATATTGATGGAAAATGGTACAAAGTAGAGCAGGTTAGCTAAGAATCTAAAAACTAGTAATGAATGAAATGTCTATTAGTGTTGTTGCGAATGCACGCATGGGTTTTTTTTTAATCAAGTATATTCCAAAACTTGTGATAATTTCGGCGCAATTAAAACAGTTGCCAAGCTAAGTTTGTTGTTGGGATAAGTGTATGAAAAATTTGGGGGCTGCGCTCCCGGCACAAGTTCGTCGGTAGTACTAAGTTGGATTTATTTATTTATTTAAATCAGGAAATTTACACACAATTTTAACAGCAGCTAAAAGAAAAAAAGAATCAAAAGAAAAAAAACGAAAGCTATGAAGAGACTTGGTTACGTGTCATGTGTGTGCGTGTGCGGTGTCGAGAATAGCAGGAGGTGATATTTCCATTCTTTCTTAAACTTACTATATAGAGGACACTTAAATCTTGAACCAGAGAATTTAAAAGAACTTTTTTACTTAAATTGGTGAATACTCTCGGTCTAAAAAGTTAGGTTTATTCGCAAATTTTGTACTGTTATAATTGTACATATGAGAGAACAAAGTTAGGACACCAAGGAAGACATTTGCAATGCTATCGGTTTCATTCTCAATCTTATGTGTAACTAAGGCAGCATATTTTTAAGTTATCCATATTCAAGACATATTATCTATACTAATCCAACAATTCCTAAGACCTTGCATTAAATCGGGACCGGCACTTTACCTAACATGTGCAAAGAAGATGGTTTCGCAGACACTTAGTTTGCTTAAGAGTACAATTTAGTCTGGTACTGCTGGCACAGCCCCAGAAAATAATTTCATAGCTTAAATACGGATATATCAAAGCACAATATATTTGTTTCAGCATATTAAAAGAGAACAGCGAAAAGCCTATCGCTATCATAGGTAACATCTAAACATGGATGAGTTGTTAGATTCGATGCAGACATTTTCTAACCAATAAGAATTTTGGATTTTTTCGTGTTCGATACGTCACGGACCCCTTCAACTTGTCTCAACTTGTAACTTATGGGAAGTAAACACAATGAATGAACTCCTTTTAATTGGTCAGTTAAGAACTGATTAAACCAATGGGAAATCTCGCCTGAAACTTGTCTAAGACACGTTTTTATGTTATGTTAACTAAGTTAGAAGAGGACATAAAAGCTTCTGGTTGATAAGGATTTGTCATCACTGTGTCATTCATCATCCAGTGACTACAGCCTTTCAACTACAAGGTTGGTATTCAGTAGTATGTTATCAAAGCAGTCTCTAGCTTTTTTATCGGTCTACTTATAATTATACTAAGAGTTCGATTTTGTTCGTTTTTTTGTTAGGAAAGTAAAGAGTAAGAATTATTTTTAAAACCGTATTTTGGTTTGTTTTTTTCGGCCTAGATGGGCACGTCCAAAAATTTCCCTTTTCCGAGTCTCTTGACTACGTGGAAGATATATTTTTGTACAAGATTTAATACAAAGGGGAATAGTCTCTTTTAACGTGGTATAAGTCACTTCATATTACAAGGCTGAGTGATAAAGATAGCAATTACTGAGAGCAGGCGATTGGATGAACTTTGAGTCTGTTCATGTTTTCGCAGAGTTTACAATCATGCAATCCTATGTGAAGATACCGCTGGCCACTACGTTAAGCTTACTGCTGTTACTACTGATCACCTTTTGTTCTGCAAACGACAACAGCAGCAAACCACGTGAAAAGGTGAGTTTGTTTAATGAAACATTAAGCAATCGGGAGGTTTTCAGTTAATGTAAATTGTGGTAAGATAAATGAAAAGTGATACACCTGAACTAGCTTTTTACCTACAAGGATCAAAGGAAATGGTTGACTTATAGATTGTCAGAATGTTTGTCCAAAATGAGAGTTTCTGCGTTCTTTTCCATCTAAACATTAGAAAATATTTCAAGGAATATTTAAGGATGTTTAAGCAAAACAAATTGGTCCTATAGGGTGATAATGTATGTTGCCTTTTAAGACTTTTACTATTCTTTTAGAGTACACGTCAGCAGACCTCATTATATGGTTCATGTGGTCATGGTGGGTGTTTCTGTGCACCAGGAATTCCAGGCATCCCAGGAAGCCCTGGACCCGCGGGAACAGCAGATGTTGCGGGATCACCTGGCAATCATGGACCTGAAGGACCCATGGGCCTACGAGGAAACAAAGGCGATGAAGGGGCCCGTGGAAGACAGGGACCACCAGGTCCCAAAGGAATTAAAGGCCCCGCAGGCCCAGCAGGTCCACCCGGTAACAAATGTGAAGCAGGTCCTCGTGGAAATCAAGGTCCCCCTGGTCCTAAGGACCTCAAGGACCCTCAGGTTCAGCTGGTTCTCCTGGAAACAAGGGTGATACAGGCGCTCGTGGAAGTCAAGGTCCCCCAGGTCACAAGGGTGCTCCAGGATCGTTTGGTCGTAATTGGAAACAGTGCGTTTTTAAGAACCTGAACGATGGAAGGGACTCTGGATTGATAAAGGTAAAGACTCAGTTTGCAGTTATAGATCAGTGAAGTCAACCTAAGGTAAGTGAGTAAGTATTTGAATATTTGAGTTATGTAAACTTCAATCATGGAAAAAGATTTAAATTAAATCCGGGAATTAAATACAGTAAGTCGAAAACGTATATCCGCCTTCAAATAATTTCTCTTTGCTAAAGCTATATAATGTTTTAGTAGGATCTTTTTTCTATTGTTATTTTCACAGGAATGTACTTTCAAGAAAATTTCCGACAAGACAGGGCTGCGTGTCTTCTGGAGTGGTGTTCTTAGAATTCATGGCTGTCATGGATGTTGTAGGCGATGGTATTTCACCTTCGATGGCGCAGAGTGTTCAGCTCCATCAGCCATTGAAGGTATAGTCTACATGGAAAATGGAAAACTTAAAAATTTGCACCGTGTCCGTCACATCGAAGGAGTCTGCGAGAAAATCCACAAGGGTACTGTTCGCGTAGGATTCTGGGTAGGAAGCTGTGCCGGTGTGAAATCTGCTGATGCTTACACAGGCTGGAACTCACTGTCCCGGATATACGTGGAAGAAGTACCTCCCCCACAGGCTTAATAACAGCAGATTCAGATTTCTTTTCTAAACAAGGGTTATTAAAAAGCTGACTCTAGGCAGATTTTTTAAAGGTCTAGAGAATAAAATGAAGTAAAAAACCATTCATACGCTTATTTGTGAAAGTTAAACATTATTTGTTTGCTGTCATTCTAACAACGAATCAAAAGTGGAAACGTTAAATTTTTATTCGAGAAACGATCCCCTATGAACTCCGCTTTTTATAGTTACTAAAACAAATTCATATTTTCCTTTTTTTTAATAATTTCGCCTTTTTCCTGTCCGTGTTGAGGCCTCAAATGTAATACATGACCCTAAATGTAATAAAGGTCCTAAGTGTAATAACTTTTGGCCCTAAATGTAATAAAGGTCCTAAGGGTAATAACTTTTGGCCCTAAATGTAACAAAGGTCCTAAATGTAATAACTTTTGACCCTAAATGTAATAAAGGTCCTAAAGTGTAATTTTTTCGGGTCTTTGTATGCTTAGGGTCATAAGAAGATTTCACAGCGTTTGCTTTTAGCCTTATTACAGGTTAACTGAGTACCAGAATGTGTCTAGGGAATATCAAACATTAAATACCCCAGGCAGAACCCTTATATAGCCACTTGACTAACAACTTATTATTATTACGTAGTTAATTTATAAGTGTTCCTCCTACTTCTTGAGCGCTCTAGCCGCTTTGAATATCCATGAAGACTACAATAGGGCGAAGAAAGTGAAGCGCCGGGTGGCTATATATCTATATCGCATCAGACCGTCGCATGTTTCAGTCAAGAACTTTATCACGTTTGGGGCTGTTATACTACATACATGTATACTGCTAAGACTTCCATTATATTTAGGGCTAAAACCTATTACACATATAATTAGACCCTTTATTACATTTAGGGCCAAAAGTTATTACATTTAGGACCTTTATTACATTTAGGGCCAAAAGTTATTACACTTAGGACCTTTATTACATTTAGGGCCAAAAGTTATTACACTTAGGACCTTTATTACATTTAGGGTCATTTATTACATTTGAGGCCTCAACATCCGCATAGTTTCCAGTTTCTCAACCGTCATTAGTACTGCTTTTGTAAAATTGTTTACGCCCGCACACCATCATCGCGTATATAGAGCGTATTTTGCAAAGTGGGCACCCTAACCTCCCTAAACTGACCATTGTACAATTTGCATATTTTAGCATCATACCAAAAAAAGTTCTTGTTTTTTCAAACAACTTTTAAGGAACTTTCGTTCGTTGATTGTTTTTTGAGCAACTTTTGAGCAACTTTTTGAGAAATCAGGGAAACTTTTTGGAAATCTCGAGCAACTTGTGGAAAGCCCATGTAACGTTCCGTATTTCTCAGTGCCAAGATGGCTTCAAAATTTAAATATATTATGAATGGAGATTATAGGACATTAAAAGACACTTTAGAAAACCTAAATACACGAAAGAGAACATCAAGAAGGATTCCAACAGGTATTGTGTCGAAAAATTCGGAAAGTTCACAACGGTATACTCCTGAAATTAGGGAACAATCAGAATTTCGCAGTCCCTCATTTGTCTGTAAAATCGTCGAGATGAAGGAAGCCCTTTCGTTACGGGTCGCCATCTTGGATGTGTCAGATCTAATTAGGAGGCGAGGAACGGTTATTCTCACTTCATTCCCCCTTCCACCACTATCAACCCTCCGCCCGCCCCCTCGGTACATATAAAACCAAGATGGCCGTCCGTACAGGAGAGCGCTCGACCCTGGCAGGTCTGAGCGGAACATGCCAAAAAAAAATAGGGGAGTGTAAACAGTCTAGAGAACAATTTCACTCGTCACCATTTCATTACACAGTCATAAAAACCCTGATTTTAAGTTAAGGAAAAAGAGATACAAAAACTTTCTAGTATTATTTTCTTTCAGAGGTCGCATTTTCAAATTTCCCCATTCCTTAAGTTCAGCGTCGAGGGTATTATCCAGTGAACTAGACAGCGCGCGTGTCGGTAGGGACGACTGAATTGAAACAAAGTTCTTAGGAGCGAGTCTTGGAAACAAAATTTTCTGTGGTGAAAATTTTGGTTCCTTTCTTAGCAACGTTTCCTAAATACACTTTAAGCAGGTTCAATCGTCTGAAGTAGCGCTTAAATATCATGGCCACAGAACAACCAACCAGTGCCGCTAGCGGAGAGAAGAAAGGGGCCATAAAAGTGAGGGGATGAACTGTTTTAACTCATGTATTCAAATTTCAAACCAAAATTAACAAAACAAATACAAGTAGCTCTTGTGTGACGTGTCAAAGAGTGACTGCATGCGCTTTACGTTGCTCAAGATATCGGACGACTTTATGAAGGCAGAATAATAAAGGCTTACAAAATGCTTCAAGTAGTAGAAAAAAAACCGTAGTGATGAGATAATTTCGCTTAGTAAAATGAGCAAAAGTTTTGTTTTCCTTTTTTGTTAATTACCGTAATTCCTCGAATAATAGCCGTCCCTCGATTAATCGCCTCCATCGAATAATCGCCCTCTTAGAATGAAATATTTAAAATTATCGCCACCCTCGAATAATCCCCTACCCTCTATCCTTCTTCTCTTTAATTTATCCCCTCCCTGTCAAGTTGAAGTGGAGTCTGATCCAGTAAAACTGATCCGGGGCGATTCATGCTCTGTCGCTAAGGATATTTACCGACTGAAAATTAATCAAGAAACCAAATTTGAAACACTTGAAAAGCCTATGCATGTTCAGTTTATTTGATGTGATCGTTTTTTGATTAGTGGATAACAAAACACAATACATTTAGGGCACAATTTCCAGTGAGCATTGTTTGAAATAATCACCTCCCTCGAATAATCGCTTTCCCTCAAATAATCGCCCCCAGCTATTATTTGAGGAAGTATACGGTACATCTCATTGGTCAGGCCAGGGAATATTTAAACTGTTTTAGCGAATAAAAATTCATGTAAGAATGGAGCTGATCACCAATAATTCACAAACGTGAACAGACGAGAACCTCATTATGTGCACAGAAAACAGAGATCGCTTTAGTTAAGGTATGAGCAACAAACTCTGATGACTGAATGGATATTTTGAAGGTAACAGCTCATATTATTGTTATCGGTATGTGGATTATATTGTTTACTTTACTTGCTACGTTTCGTTTAACAGCCTTTGACTGTTATGGGTTCTATTTCCCTGAAAGCGGTTATGCATCCAATTATTCAAAGCAAGAGCCCTAAAGGTAAATTAGTTTATTTATTTTGAAGAGGAAACTTATTTTAATGATCATCAGAATCACTGCCAGTATAAATTGCATAATTTAAAAAATGTTCACAACTGCCGAAATCGGGTAAATTCATAAAAATTCGTTCTCAGATCATATGAATCGGGGAGAAATCATGGTAGCAGAAATTGCGTCTTGATTTTTTCACTTCTAAAGTCAACTACGGGGACGTGTGGTTGAACTGTAATGGGTGATATGTGATCATTGAAATGAAAACGCAACTGCAGCAGTTTTGCATGATCGCTCTTCTTATTACTCTTGGTAAAATGATTCAATGTTCTGAAACAGTGGAAAAATTCTCGTTAAGTGGCCACTAAAATGACCACTCTTCCATCAGTACTCTCGCGTGCATTTTTTCATTTGCTTTTTAGATTATATAACGTACATTAAATTAGTATTTATCCTCTCTTGGCGCGGGTTTACGCAAATTAATGTTTCAATCGGTATAGGGTTGTATAATCGCGAATTGCACGTTTTAGAGCCTCAGTTATAACGGGAGGGAATTTAAAACAGGTTTTTTAAGCTCAAACTGTGAGAAAACAAGTCTGTGTTAAAAAACTGCCCCACACAAGTTATTAATACGAACACTGAAAAAGGCAGTCGAAGCAAAGAGAAACGATTTCGATGCTGCAGTCATTTTGCGCGCAACAATCTGTGTTTCACTCATGTTTTAACTGAAGATTTACCATTTGGAGGCTAGCCTCGTAAATGTGATGTATCGTTCACAAGTTAAGAGGTTTTTCATTTGTTTTGGCCTTGAAAGCACGAGAAAGACAAAAGGACGTGACGCTATAAAAGAGAATCTGTGATCGTTTTCATAAATATTATCTATTTTTGATAGCAATATTATACTGGGAAATTTATACTTCAGTACAACGGACCTGATAAGCGACCTGCACGGTCAAACGCTCAAAAAAATATCGATAACAGTTCTTGGCATTTTGTGGTGCGTCTAATATAATCACTTCAACTTAAAATTTACCTATTCGATTTTGTGAGATTTTCTTCAAGATTTTTGTTTAAACTGAGACAAGCAAGAACCGCTCAAGACGAAATCGCCTAAAGTTAGATTTTGGAACTGATACGTGAGTATACAAAGACTACATTCCACCAGGGAGAGACCTGTCTTGGTGTGTTAACACTATAACTAATAAGGCTTGCAACTTTCAATATAGTCATACTGCAGGAGGCAGTTCAAAACAGATTTTTAGTTTCAACCCCAAGACAACAAATCTCTGATATTAAACAGCTTTGCAACGAGTTTATAGGGAACAAAAACAGCTTTATGCCACTGCGGAAAACGATTTCGATGCTGTACTCAGTGCACTAATCTGCTAAAATTAACAACAAGAAGTTAATCAATCTCTCATGTTTTACTTGAAGATCTACCAGTGGGTGGCTAAACTCGCAAGTACACAGCGCAAATGTTACCTAGCCTGCGTAGCATGGCGGTTTTGGTTGGGCGCGCTAAGTAATAAAGGCGGGCGAGGGCAGAGAAACCGCGAGGAGATTGGGGCGGAATTACCCGTCTCCTCCTCTAATTCGTTTATAAAAAATGCGTGGTTCTATCATTGTAAAATTTGGAAAACGCGCTATAATAACAGCAAAATAATGGGCGTTCCCAATATTAACCAACTTGTACATCAAGCGCAAAACAAGGTCTGTATTAGAATCAAGAGAATGTTCTACTTTCAATAGCAACCGTATTAAATAGGAGGTTACAATCTGATTTCTGATTCAAGATATCGATATGTCTTGGATTTGTTTTGTACATTGTAACTCCGGTAACTTCAAATCGAGTGTACCGAGAACATCTGTGAGAAGACGACCCAATAATCAGAACCTAAACAATGAAAGTTAAATTATTCTTCTGATATGTGTAGCAATTTACATGATTGGACGTTTGTTTCTCATACACAGCTTCTTTTCGTTTTTCCAGCATTTCGCTATCACTCGAGACTGATAACTCAAGCACTCAGAATTACTTGAAGGTTAAACGATTAAAACTGTAAGTACACAGCGAATTCACTTGTAGGTTTATTGTGTTAGACAATAGTTTTGTGCTGCTAGACAGATATCAACAGATTTGTCTCAGAATTACGAAAAACTCATTTCGTTCACATGGTATCTGGCACACGTTTTGACCATAATTGTGAAACTCAAAGTTCAGAGACGGAACCACTAAAACGAAGTCGATCTACGTTACATGATCAGAACTGACAGCAACCGTATAAGAAATACATTCCATGAGGAAGATTTTGAAAAACTTGTAAGATAATAAAATAGCTCATAATAAATAATCTCAGACATTATTATTATTATTATTATCATAATTTCAGTGACATATAAAATCTCAGCTTAGTTGGGTCTAGTTGATACTCTTTGTGAAATTGCAAACCTTTCATTTCAGTTAAAAAAGGCAGTGATCAAATTGAGTCAGGTGCAAAAGCACAGCAAAAATAAAAGACGCCATATCATCCCGCGACTAATTACTGACTAATCACTTAGCAAACAAGTCACTCTGCTCCTTGGAATACACGTAGGATGTTCTCTTAACTTGTTATTTCGAGAACTTAATCAAACAAATCAAAAAAGTAACTTACATCATTTTTGCACAAAGCAGTTGTCAACAAAAAGTCCTCAGAATTAGGGATTTTAAAGTAAAAACAATTTAGCTTTGAATATTTCTACTTAATTTAATGACTTCTTTACAAGCTTCATTATTTTATCTCATAGTTCCTTTTCTTCGTCTCTGCTTCCCTGGACACAGAAAACGTAGGTGCTTGAAATAGGAACTATCCTAAAGATTAGCAGTCTGTCATTCAATGTTGAGCACCACGACCTTCTCAATTAAACTGAAGAACAAAGTTTAGTGAAGAGTTTGCAAATTAATGAGCATTATCAGTTGCGAAAGCTTTGTGTTAGTTTTTTTAAAAAGAAGTAAGTACATAATCGTTCTAACACTACCCCTCAAATTCAGAATTTTAGTGCCTCCTTTTAAAATTCAGTTTCAAGTAAGCGACTGAATTATTCTCGAATTTATGATCGGTGTTGTGCGGCCATTTTCCATCAAGAACTGATGAAAAATTGGAATCTGAGTGCCTTAATTGAAAAAGAAAGGAATGAAATACAGGAGGCGAACTACGAATCTGAAAACCAGTTACGAATGTTATTTTCTGGATCGTCTGTTATCAGTTTTCTATTAATATCCACTAAAGATTCGCCGGGGTCTTCTTGGTCCTTCTTAGCTATTTTGTCGCCTAAGAACTGTAAAAGGTGTTGACTTACGCTGCAATTTTTTCTGTAATTTCAGTCCCATCGGTATACGTCGGTTTTATCGAGCAACTGAAAATTAATTGATAATCAAAGTTCAAAGTACGCCATACAGGACACAAAATGTTCACTGTAGATACATAGAAGAACGTAAGAGTAGCAAAGGCTATGAATTAAAAGAGGTGTAGTTCATGTTTCATGTTGTTTGTCCGTTTGCGGTGTCGAAAGTAGTAACGCTTCTAGTCAGTGAACACCGCAGGCAGGCAGGCAGCAGAAATTCAGATTAAATCAGCGATAAAATCAAGCAAATCGGCTGCAGTAAAATCAAGTTTGATTGATCAAGAGGTGATATTTCCATTCTTTCTTTAAACTTGTTATAGGGGACACATTTGAGTCAAAGGGCACCGGTAGTTTCCCAAATCTTCGGAACAAGAAAATTTAAGAGAAGTCCAACTTACCTAAATTAGTGATTACACGCGATCTAATAAATTCAGTTTCCACGCAAATTTTGTGTTATTATTGTGTATATTCGATACTGGAGTCAGAACACTAAGGAACACATACATCTGGATGCTATCGCTTTCATTCTCTATTATTATATCGCTTTCATTCTCTATCGTGTTAGGCAGCATGCTCATATTCGAAATTTATTTCTTTTATTGTCTAATTCAATCGGGACCGGCACTTACTTAGCATGTGCAAAGAGGATGCATGGCTATGTACTAAGATGTCTAGCACAGCCTCAGGCAATGATTTCATAACTTAACTATCCGAACATATCAAACTGCACAATATATTTGTTTCAGCATATTAACATCCAAGTAGAAGAGAACAATAAAAAGCATATCGCTAGGTAGTTGTCAAAAATAACCAGTGATGAAACTTCTGTTTCTGAACAGAATTGGTCATTACCTTTCAAATTTCGCATAACGTGAAACATGGATAGGCTGTTAGAGTCAATATTGAAATTTTCTGGCCCAATAAGATTTTTGGATTTTTTCGTGTTCTATACGTCACGGACCCCTTCAACTTGTCCCATCTTGAAACTTATGGGAAGTAAACACAATAAATGAACTCTTTTTAATTGGTCAGTTAAGAACTGATTAAACCAATGGGAAATCTCGCCTGAAACTTGTCTTAAGACAGGTTTTTTCGTTATGTTAACTAGGTTAGAAGAGGACATAAAAGTTTCTGGTTTTTCATGGATTTGTCATTCCTCATCAGGTGACTAGCTACAGCCTCACAGCAACAAACCAGGTTGGTATCTACTAGTATGTTATCATAGCAAAAGTTACCACTGGCTCATTTATTCTTTCTACCTATACTGTCCATTCCTGGGAGTTCTTACACTTTCAACTCTCTTTAACTTTTTGAGGAAAGTGGAAGAGTTATTTTTAACCCTATATTTTATCCTAAATGGGTACTAAAAATTCATTTATTTTAGCGTCTCTAGATAGACTCGATATATAAATTTTTTGTACTCGATTTGGTAAAAAGGGAATAGTCTTTTTTAACGTGGTATAGTTCACTGGTATAGTTCATGACGTAGGCGTGATAAAGTTAGTGAGTTGAGTGCTGGTGATGGGATGAGCTTTGAGTCTGTTCATGTTTTCGCAGAGTTTACAATCATGCAATCCTGTGCGAAGATACCGCTGGCTAATACGTTAGGGCTACTGCTGTTGATATTAATCACCTTTTGTTCTGCAAATGACAACAACAGCAGCAAACCACGCGATAAGGTGAGGTTGTTTAATAAAAGATCGAGTAATCGGGAAATTCTTTAACGTCATTTGCTGTATGATAATTGAAAAGTGATACCACTGAACAGGCTCTATAGGTAAAAAGGTCAAAGGAAGTGGCTGACTCGAAGATTTTCAAGACGTTTCTCTAAAATGCCACTGTCTGCACCTTTTTTTTTAAACTCAAACATTGGAAATTGTTTTTTAGAAACTTGAACGATATTTAAAGCAAAACAAATTTGGTCTACAGGACAATAATGCTTGTTTCCAATTAATATTCTTTTAGATTACACGTCAGCAGACATCATCTTATGGTTCCTGTGGTCATGGTGGGTGTTTCTGTGCACCAGGAATTCCAGGCATTCCAGGAAGCCCTGGACCCGCGGGACCAGCAGGTGTTGCGGGATCACCCGGTAATCATGGACCTGAAGGACCCATGGGCCCACGAGGAAACAAAGGTGATGAAGGAACCCGTGGAAGACAGGGACCTCCAGGCCCCAGCGGTAACAAAGGTGAAGCAGGTACCCCTGGCCCCAAGGGACCTCAAGGACCCTCAGGTTCAGCTGGTTCCCCTGGAAACAAGGGTGATACAGGTGCTCGTGGTAGTCAAGGTCCCCCAGGTCCCAAGGGTGCTCCAGGATCGTTTGGCCTTAATTGGAAACACTGCGTTTTTAAGAAACTGAACGATGGCAGGGACGCTGGAATGATCAAGGTAAAGACTCAGTTTACAGCTAAAAATATGAGAAGTTAGCCTAAAGTAAATAAGAGATTAACCAACTTCAGATTTGAAAATTCTAGTTTTGTCAACTTTGTCAGGAAGAACGATTTTCATTAATTTCAACAGGCCTGGAACTACCGTATTTATTCGAATAAGCGCCCAACCTCGAATTAGCGCCCACCTCGGATAAGCGCCCATCCTAAAGGCAGAAAAAGTTAATAAGCGCCCACCCTCGAATAAGCGCCCACCCCCTACTCCTCCCAATCAAACCCAAATAAGCACTCACCCCACCCCACCCACTTGAGTGAATAAATTCTAATAAGAGACTTCCCCGAGGACGGAGTATTCTTCAGAGTATTTACAGAAACCTTGTTTTGTTACTTCTTCGCGTTTTGTTATTAGCATTTATTGTTTTGTTACAAAATAAACATACTTCACTTGCTGAAAACGGTGAAAATTTAATAAGCGCCCAGCCTCGAATAAGCGCCCACTCTCAAGGTCCAAAAATTTAATAAGCGCCCAGGGCGGTTAATCGAATAAATACGGTAACCCATGGCTGCCTTCAAATAATATCTCTTTATTCATTATTTAACATTTTAGTCCGATTGTTTCAATTTTGGTTGTTGAAGTTGCTGATCTTCAAATGATCTATGATGTTCCTATTTATATTCTCACAGGAATGTGTTTTTAAGAAGATGTCAGACAACACAGCGCTACGTGTCATCTGGACTGGCGCTCTTCGAATCTATAACTGTGACGGCTGCTGCAGTCGATGGTATTTCACCTTTAACGGTGCAGAGTGTTCAACCCCAGCAGCCATTGATGGTGGAGTGTACATGAGGTATGGACGTGGCAGCAGACTAAAGAATTTGCACCGCGTGCGTCACATTGAAGGAGTCTGTGAGAAAATTCACAAGGGCACAGTGCGTGTGGGATTCTGGGTCGGCAAATGTTCTGGTGTGACTTCTGCTGATGCTGAGACAGGCTGGCCCGGAGTGTCCCGTATCTACGTGGAGGAAATACCTCCCCCACAGGCTTAAGCCGATTCAGATTTCTTTTTAAGTAAGGATGATTAATAAGCTAACTTTTGACAGAATTTTTAGAGGTCCAAGGAATAAAAATAATGGGTGATATTTTTGAAATTAGAAGCAAACGTAGGTGAGGTTTAAAAAAAGCTTGAGCGTAAAGATCGTTTGCATACGAAAGAAATGTGAACCAAGCGAGGAATCTGCAAATTGAAATTAAAAAACCCTTTAAAAATAAGTTATTTATAAGTAAATTTGTAAAAGTTAAACATAATTTGTTTGCCGCCATTCTAAAAACGAATCAAAAGTGAAAGTGTAAAACGTGTATTCCCGACCTCCTGGTCGAGTGTATGAAGATATTTTCCAAGGGTGGAAGAGGGTGCTTTGTTAGTGTTAACGTTAAACTTCATCTGTAGGGAAATGCTTTATGGCTTTGCCAATGTAACTTTCTTCTTTAAAAAAGGAAAATCGTCTTTGAGACTTTAAAAAAGTCTCAATCCAGAATCTCAGTCATAGACTTGTAACAGAAACCGCCAGCGCGCGGGCTGCTGGTCCACCAACCTTCATCCGCCTATGAACTCCAATTCTTACAGTCACTAAAAAGATCGTATTTCCCTTTTTTTAAAGTGAGATCTCTAAACTGGCTTTTTCGTGCCATGGAGTGTGCAGTTTGTATTAGTCAGGCTCGAACACTGTCACCGCGTATAGAGCGTATTCTACAAAGTGGGCACCCTTCCCTCTTTAAACTGACCACCGGCATACAATCCACTGTCTGCTTAAATGACATCTAAACTCAGAGAAGGCAAGTTTCCAGAAATTGACCACCAAGCAGGGGAGAAAAGGTTTTGGGGGGGGAAATGGGATCACACTAGGTACCTTAATCCCGGTCATAATTATTGAAGCGCTGCTGCTTTTTTTTTCATTTTCACCCCAGTGCTTTTCCCTGGGACGGGCAGGTCTCAGAAAGCAAAAAATCGTGGCCACAAGTCAATCTGGAACCCAGATCTCACTCTGTAAGAGATAAGATACACTGGGAGTGTATTTCCCGTGAAATCAAATTCAGTGTAACAAGAAATACGTGTATTTGTGGAACAACTTAGTTGAATATCATGGGTGACAAATTACCCCTTAATTTTGGCGTGAAAAAAAATTAAAAGGTTGCTACGGCAACACACTTTCCGTATTTCTCAGTACAGTGCCAAGATGTGGTCAAGTGAATGGAGATAACAGGGCATTAAAAGACGCATTAAAAAACTTAAATACTCGAAAGAGCACATCAAGAAGGATTCCAACAGGTATTTTGTCAAAAAATTCGAAAAAATGGCGAACTTAAGTCAAAAGTTATGCCATAAACTTTCCAGTGCCGTGGAGTTCTCGATAGGATAGCCAAGTAAAAGGCCACCATTTTGAGCGTCATTTGTCACACATAATATCAATGGGCAATCAAATGGTAAAGCCCTGAAATTAGGCAATGATTAGAATGTTCACAGTCCCTCATTTTTCCGTAAAATGGTCGAGATGAAGCCCTTCGTTACGGGAGGCCATCTTGGATGAGTGTCAAATCTAATTAGGAGGCGAGGGACTGTTCTTCTCACTTCATTTTCCCTTCCACCACTATCAACCCCTGCGCTCGCCCCCTCGATACATATAAAACCAAGATGGATGTCAGTACCGAAAAGCGCTCGATCCTGGCAGGTCTGAGCGGAACTTACCAAAAAAAAATGGGGGAGTGTAAATAGTCTAGGGAATAATTTCACTCGTCACCATTTCATTACACAGTCATAATAATCCTGATTTTAAGTGAAGGAAGAAGAGGTAAAAACTTTCTAGTATTATTTTATTTCAGAGGTCGCATTTCCAAATTTCCCATTTCTTAAGTTCAGCGTCGAGATTATTATCCAATGAACTAGAAAGCGCCCGTGCCGGTAGGGACGAGACTGAAACAAAGTTCTGAGTAGCGAGTCTTAGAAACAAAATTTTCTTTGGTGAAAATTTGAGACGTCAAATTTTGGTTCCTTACTTAGCAACGTTTCTTAAATACACTTTAAGCAGGCTTAATCGTCTGAAGTAGCGCTTAAATATCATGGCCACAGAACCGCCAACCAGTGCCGCTAGCGGAGAGTAGAAAGGGGCCATAAAAGTGAGGGGATGAACTGTTTTAACTCATGTATTCAAATTTCAAACCAAAATTAACAAAACAAATATAAGTAGCCCTTGTGTGACGTGTCAAAGAGTGACTGCGCTATACGTTGCTCAAGATATCGGACGACTTTATGAACGCAGAATAATAAAGGCTAACAAAATGCCTCAAGTAGTAGAAAATAAAACCGTAGTGATGAGATAATTTCGCTTAGTAAAATGAGAAAAAGTTTGGTTTTCCTTTTTGTTAATTATCGTAATTCCCCGAATAATAGCCGTCCCTCGATTAATCGCCTCCCTCGAATAATCGCCCTCTTAGAATGAAATATTTAAAATTATCGCCATCCTTGAACAATCACGTACCCTCTCTCCTTCTCTTTAAATTATTCTCTCCCTGTAAAGTTGCAGTGGAGTCTGATCCAGTAAAACTGATCCTTGACGATTCATGCTTTGTCGCTGAGGATATTGACCGATTGAAAATTAATCGAGGAACCAAATTTGAAACACTTGAAAAGCCCATGCATGTTCAGTTTATTTGATGCCATCATTTTTTGATTAATGGATAATAAAACACAATATATTTAGGGCACAACTTCCAGTGAGCATTGTTTGAAATAATACCCCCTCCTCGAATAATCGCCTTCCCTCAAATAATCGCCCCCTTTTTGGGCGAAAAAATAATGTTAATCGCCCCGGCTATTATTTGAGGAAGTACGATACATCTCATTGGTTGGGCCAGGGAATATTTAAACTGTTTTAGCGAATACAAATTCATGTTAGAATGAAGCTGATCACCAATGATACACAAACTTGAACTGACGAGAACCTCATTATATATGCACAGAAAACAGAGATCGCTTTAGTTAAGGTATGAGCAACAAACAGTGACGACTGAATGGATATTTTGAAGGTATCAACTCATATTATTGTTGTTTGTATGTGGATTATATTGTTTACTTTACTTGCTACGTTTCGTTTAACAGCCTTTGACTGATGTGGGTTCTATTTCCTTGAAAGCGGTTATGCATCCAATTACCCAAAGGTAAATTAGTTTATTTATTTTGAAGTGGAAACTTATTTTAATGATCATCAGAAACACTGCCAGTCTAAATTACATAATTTAAAAAATGTTCACAACTGCCGAAATCCGGTAAATTCATTAAACTTCGTCCTCAGATTAGATATGAATCGGGGAGAATTCTAGCCTCCCCGCAGACGTCCTTTGGGAAATGAATGCGTGACGAACGAACCCCAAAGGACGTCTGCGGGAAGGCTAGGAGAATTCATGGTGGCAAAAATTGCTTCTTGATATTTTCACTTCTAAAGTCAACTACGGGGACGTGTGGTTTGAACTGTAATGGGTGATGTGTGATCATTGAAATGAAAACACAACTGCAGCACTTTTGCATGATCGCTCTTCTTATTACTCTTTGTAAAATGATTCAACGTTCTGAAACAGTGGAAAAATTCTCGTTAAGTGGCCACTAACATGACCGCTCTTACATCAGTAGTCGCGTGCATGTTTTCATTTGCTTTTTACATTTTATAACATTAAATTAGTATTTATCCTCTCTTGGCGCGGCTTTACAAATATTAATGTTTCAATCGGTAGAATTGTATAATCGCGAATTGTACGTTTTAGAGCCTTAGTTGGCCGGAAGGCAATTTAAAACAGGTTTTTGAAGCTCAAACCGGGGGAAAACAAGTCTGTGTTAAAAAACTGCCCCACACAAGTTATTAATAGGAACACTGAAAAAGGCATTCGAAGCAAGGAGAAACGATTTCGATGCTGCAGTCATTTTGCGCGCGGTAACCTGTGTTTCACTCATGTTTTAACTGAAGATTTACCACTTGGAGGCTAGCCTCGTAAATGTGATGTATCGTTCACAAATTAAGAGGTTTTTCATTTGTCTTGGCCTTGAAAGCACGAGAAATACAAAAGGACGTGACGCTGCAAAAGAGAATCTGTAATCGTTTTCATAAATATTTTCTATTTTTGATAGCAATATTATATTGGGAAATTTATACTTCAGTACCACGGACCTGATAAGCGACCTGCACGGTCAAACGCTCAAAAAAATATCGAAACAGTTCTTGGCATTTTTTTGTGAGTCTAATACAATCACTTCAACTTAAAATTTACCTATTCGATTTTGTGAGATTTTCTTCAAGATTTTTGTTTAAACTGAGACAAGCAAGAACCGCTCAAGAAGAAATCGCCTAAAGTTAGATGTTGGAACTGATACGTGAGTATACAAAGACTACATTCCACCAGGGAGAGACCTGTCTTGGTGTGTTGAAATTATAACTAATAAGGCTTGCAAGTTTTACTATAGTCATACTGCAGGAGGCAGTTCAAAACAGATTTTTAGTTTCAACCCTAAGACAACAAATCTCTGATATTAAACAGCTTTGCAACGAGTTTACAGGGAACGAAAACAGCTTTATGCCACTGCGGAAAACGATTTCGATGTTGTACTCAGTGCACTAATCTGCTATAATTAACAACAAGAAGTTAATCAATCTCTTATGTTTTATTTGAAGATTTACCAGTGGGTGGCTAAACTCGCAAGTACACAGTGCAAATGTTACCCGTCTCCTCCTCTAATTCGTTTATAAAAAAAATGTGTGGTTCTATCATTGTAAAATTTGGAAAACGCGCTATAATAGCAGCAAAATAATGGGCGTTTCCAATATTAACCAACTTGTACATCAAGCGCAAAACAAGGTCTGTATTAGAATCAAGAGAATGTTCTACTTTTAATAGCAACCGTATTAAATAGGAGGTTACAATCTGATTTATGATTCAAGATATCGATATGTCTTGGATTTGTTTTGTACATTGTAACTCCGGTAACTTCAAATCGACTGTACCGAGAACATCTGTGAGAAGACGACCCAATAATCAGAACCTAAACAATGAAAGTTAAATTATTCTTCTGATATGTATAGCAATTACATGATTGGACGTTTATTTCTCATACACAGCTTCTTTTCGTTTTTCCAGCATTTCGCTATCACTCGAGACTGATAACTCAAGCACTCAGAATTACTTGAAGGTTAAACGATTAAAACTGTAAGTACACAGCGAATTCACTTGTATGTTCATTGCGTTAGACAATAGTTTTGTGCTGTTAGACAGATATCAACAGATTTGTCTCAGAATTACGAAAAACGCATTTCGTTCACATGGTATCTGGCACACGTTTTGACCATAATTGTGAAACTCAAAGTTCAGAGAAGGAACCACTAAAACGAAGTCGATCTCCGTTACATGATCAGAACTGACAGCAACCTTATAAGAAATACATTCCACGGGGAAGATTTTGAAAAACTTGTAAAATAATAAAATAGCTCATTATAAATAATCTCAGATATTATTACTATTATTATCATAATTTCAATGACATATAAAATCTCAGCTTAGTTGGGTCTAGTTGATACTTTTTGTGAAGTTGCAAACCTTTCTTTTCAGTTAAAAAAGGCAGTGATCAAATTAAGTCAGGTGCAAAAGCACAGCAAAAATAAAAGACGCCATATCATCCCGCGACGAATTACTGACTAATCACTTAGCAACCGAGTCACTCTGCTTCTTGGAATACACGTAGGATGTTCTCTTAACTTGTTATTTCGAGAACTTAATCAAACAAATCAAAAAAGTGACTTACATCATTTTTGCACAAAGCAGTTGTCAACAAAAAGTCCTCAGAATTAGGGATTTTAAGGTAAAAACAATTTTGGTTTGAATATTCCTAGTTAATTTAAGAACTTCTTTACACGCTTCATTATTTTATCTCATAGTTCCTTTTCTCCTTCTCTGCTTTCCTGGACACAGAAAACGCAGGTACTTGAAATACGAATTATCCTAAAGATTAGCAATCTCTCATTTAGCTTCATTTAATGTTGAGCACCACGACCTTCTCAATTAAACTGGGGAACAAAGTTTAGTGAAGAGTTTGCAAATTAATGAGCATAAACAGTTGCGAAAACTTTGTTTTCCTAAAAAGAAGTAAATAATCGTTCTAACACCACAAGTCTGATTGAGAATTTTAGTGTCTCCTTTTAAAATTAAGGTTCAAGTAAGCAACTGAGTTATTCTCGAATTTATGATCGGTGCTGTGACGCCATTTTCCATCAAGAACTGATGAAAAATTGGAATCTGAGTGTCTTAATTGAAAGAGAAAGGAATAAAATACAGGAGGCGAACTACGGATCTGACAACCAGTTACGAATGTTATTTTCTGGATCGTCTGTTATCAGTTTTATATTAATATCCACTGAATTCGCCGGGGTCTGTTTCTTCTTAGCTGTTTTGTCGCCCAAGAAGTGTAAAAGGTGTTGACTTACGCCGCAATTTTTTTTTCTGTAATTTCAGTCCCATCGGTATACGTCGGTTTCACCGAGCAAAAAATTAATTGATAATCAAAGTTCAAAGTACGCCATACAGGACACTTAAACACAATTTTCGCTGTAGATACATAGAAAGATTAAGAACGTAAGAGTAGCAAAGGCTATGAATTAAAGGAGGTGTAGTTCTCGTGTGCAGTGTCGAAAGTAGTAACGCTTCTAGGCAGTGAACACCGCCATGTTCAAGTAAATGCAGGCAGCAGAAATTCAGATTAAATCAGCAATAAAATCAAGCAAATCGGCTGCAGTATGATTGATCAAGCAAATCGGCTGCAGCTTGATTGATCAAGAGGTGATATTTCCATTCTTTCTTAAAACTCATTATAGGGGAGACATTTGAGTTCAAAGGGGCACCGGCAGTTTCCCAAATCTTCGGAACAAGAAAATTTAAGAGAAGTCCAACTTTCCTAAATTAGTGATTACACGCGATCTAATAACTTTAGTTTCCACGCAAATTTTGTATTATTATTGTGTATATTCGATACTGGAGTCCAGACACCAAGGAAGACATGCATCTGGATGTTATCGCTTTCATTCTCAATCTTATGTGTTAGGCAGCATGCGCATATTCGAAATTTATCGGGACCGGCACTAATTACCTAGCATGTGCAAAGAGGATGCATGGCTATGTACTAAGATGTCTAGCACAGCCTCAGGCAATGATTTCATAACTTAACTATCCGAAAATATCAAACTGCACAATATATTAGTTTCAACATATTAACATCCAAGTAGAAGAGAACAACAAAAAGCATATCGCTAGGTAGTTGTCAAAAAAGACCAATGATGAAACATCTGTTTCTGAACGGAATTGGTCATTACCTTTCAAATTGCGCATAACGTTAAACATGGATGAGCTATTACAGTCAATACAGAAATTTTCTGGCCAATAAGATAATTGGACTTTTTCGTGTTCTATACGTCACGGACCCCTTCAACATGTCCCATCTTGTAACTTATGGAAAGTATACACAATAAATGAACTCCTTCTAATTGGTCAATTAATAACTGATTAAACCAATGGGAAATCTCGCCTGAAACTTGTCTAAGACACGTTTTTTTGTTATGCTAACTAGGTTAGAAGAGGACATAAAAGTTTCTGGTTTGTTAAGGATTTGTCATTCCTCATCAGGTAACTAGCTAGAAACCAGGTTGGTATCTACCAGTATATATGTTATCATAGCAAAGTAGTCACTGGCTTATTCATACTTTCTACTTATACTGTCCATTTCTGGGAGTTCTTACACTTTCAACTCTTTTTGAGGCAAGTGGAAGAGTTATTTTTTAACCTTATTTTATCTTAAATGGGTACTAAAAAGTTCGTGTATTTTAGAATCTCTACTCTCAATATATTAACTTTTTGTACTCGATTTGTTAAAAAAAGGGAATAGTCTTTTTTTAACAGGGTATAGTTCATTAGTATAGTTCATGACGTAGGCGTGATAAAGTTAGTGTGTTGAATGCAGGTGATTGGATGAGCTTTGAGTCTGTTCATGTTTTCACAGAGTTTACAATCATGCAATCCTGTATGAAGATACCGCTGGCCACTACGTTAAGCTTACTGCTGTTACTATTAATCAACTTTTGTTCTGCAAATGACAAGAACAGCAGCAAACCACGTGATAAGGTGAGTTTGTTTAATAAACGATTGTTTAATCGGGAAATTCTTTTATGTCATTTGCTGTGTTATGATAATTGAAAAGTGAAACAACTGAACAGGCTCTTTAGGTAAAAAGATCATGATCAAATGATGGCTGACTCAAAAATTGTCAACGTGTTTCTCTAAAATGCCACTGTCGCAATTTTTTCAACTCAAACATTGGAAATTCAGCGTTTCTTGGAATATTAAAAGATATTTAAAGCAAAACAAATTTGGCCTACAGGACAATAATGCATGTTTCCATTTAATATTCTCTTAGATTACATGTCAGCAGACTTCACCTTATGGTTCCTGTGGTCATGGTGGGTGTTTCTGTGTACCAGGAATTCCAGGCATCCCAGGAAGCCCTGGACCCGCGGGACCAGCAGGTGTTACGGGATCATCCGGTAATCATGGACCTGAAGGACCCATGGGCCCACGAGGAAACAAAGGTGATGAAGGAACCCGTGGAAGACAGGGACCTCCAGGCCCAAACGGTAACAAAGGAAAAGCAGGTCCCCCTGGCCCTAAGGGACCTCAAGGACCCTCAGGTTCAGCTGGTTCCCATGGAAACAAGGGTGATACAGGTGCTCGTGGAAGTCAAGGTCCCCCAGGCCCAAAGGGTGATCCAGGATCGTTTGGTCGTAATTGGAAACAATGCGTTTTTAAGAAGCTGAGTGATGGAAGGGATTCTGGATTGATAAAGGTAAAGACTCAGTTTACAGTTCAAAAAATGTGAAGTTACCCTAAAGTAAATAAGAGATTGACTAACTTCGGATTGAAAATTCGATTTATGTCAACTTTATCAGGAAGAATGATTTTTATTCACTACAGTAGGCTCGGAACTAACCCATGGCTGCCTTCAAATAATATTTCTTTGTTCATTATTTATAATTTTGGTCCTATTTTTTCAGTTTTGGTTGCTGACGTTGTTGATCTTCAAATGATCTATGATGTTCCTATTTATATTTTCACAGGAATGTATTTTCAAGAAGCTGTCAGACAACACAGCACTGCGTGTCTCCTGGACTGGCGCTCTTCGAATCTATAACTGTGACAGCTGCTGCAGTCGATGGTATTTCACCTTCAACGGTGCAGAGTGTTCATCTCCTGCAGCAATTGATGGTGGAGTCTACATGAGGTATGGAAGTGGCAGCAGACTAAAGGATTTGCACCGCGTACGTCACATTGAAGGAGTCTGTGAGAAAATCCACAAAGGTACAGTGCGCGTTGGATTCTGGGTCGGCAAATGTGCCAGTCACAAATCTGCCGATGCTAACACAGGCTGGCCCGGAGAGTCCCGGATGTACGTGGAAGAAATACCTCCCCCACAGGCTTAATAACAGCAGATTCTGATTTCCTTCTAACTTAAAGCGTGATTAACAAGCTATTTATGGACAATTTTGGTATTAGAAAGAAGTTGAAACTGTCAAAAGAAGGGTGAAGGGTTTTAGAAGGTACATTGTAACACGAAACAAATGTAAGAAATCTGCAAATGCAAAATAAAGCCACTTTGAAAAGTACAAAAGAAGTTTCTATTTGCATAAAAAGACTTAAAGGGGCACTGTTACGAGAATTTTTGTTGTAAGTTCTAACGTTTTCAGTACCTATAATCAGACCAATGAGTCACTATAATTTGGAGCATAGTTGGTAGAGTGCTGGTTTGCAAAGCGAGAGAACTGGGGTTCGATTCTCACGGTCTAAACAATAGAGACCTTTCGATTCTAAGCGCGCGTAAACCAGCGACGGTCATTTTGTAATTATGGTCATTGTCATTCTGCTATGAGTTTAAGCGAGAATGTCGTGTTAGCGGACACAACTTATAACGTGTTATAGTTTTTATTATTTTGCGGCTGGGAGATAGCTTAACCTCCTTGAATCAAGATAACGGTGCTAATTTTTGGTGAAAAAGATGTACAATAAAACTATCCAGGGTGTCTATTATTTAAGAGCACGCGAAAAAACTTTAAGTTTAATCTGACTCGTACTCGTAGTCGTTCTCGTCCTAGAATCTAAAGGTCTCTAATAGCACGGGTCTTAAAACAACTGAGACACTAAAAACGGTTTTGCCTTTGCCTTCTGAACGGCTGCTAGAGCTTCGCGTGACTCAAACATAACCGCGTCAAAATGGCGGTCTTGTCTCCATTAGGACACGTAAATACAGTACCCTCATGCTCAATTAGTACCTCAGTATTTGTTAAAGATTATGGCACATTAAAATAAAGTAGGTTTCTTTAATTTTCCATTTTAGCTTTTAGGGTTTTACTTAAATTTCATTGCCCCACAATTTGCCTCTATTGGCCACTTATTCGATGCTTAGACACGAAAATTCAAGGGGAGGACTGAAAGTGCAAGGAAGGACAAGGAACGCGACAATTTGTAGAAAAATGACTTTTCCATAAATCTTGGCTTGTCATCCATCCAGTTCCTAATCGCGCCTAACAGGAGTAAGCTGGAGTGCCGGAATCCACGAGGCTCTGCGAGACACGAACTTTCAAGTAATAGTAATATTTGGGCTTTCGTCAGGGTTAACTGCTTAACAGTTTTTTTCTCTTTGTCTGTTAACGGTTCTACTTCCTTGAAAGCGATAATGCATCAAATAACCGAGAATGTAAGTGAGTTTATTTATTTTGCAATGATGCGTAAAAACATTATCTGTTCACAAAATGAAACTACCAGGGCCAATTATTTTCAGATAAATAAAGCTGAATTCACATCTGCCGATACGAGACAAATTCATACAGACGTTGAGTTCACTTTAGAATGATATGGAACGGGCGGAATTTTTGGCGAACAAAATTGCTTCTATATAGTAAACATAATATTGAATCAAGTTCTGTGATTGTTAAGTTTCACAATCCACAACACTGAGAGTCAACTACTTGGACCCGCTGTAAAAAAAACATCTCAGTATGTGGCTGGGACTGAATCCTACGAAATGACCATGTGAAAACCTCAACCTCTGTTAAACAAACGTAGAAGTTGAAGAACTTTCTCCGCTTTGGAGAGGAAAGCAGAATATCAATAAATCAATGCCTGCATGATCAAGCGTTAAAAGATATGAATGATTTATTGAATTTATATGGTAGAACTCGTCTGGTCACGTCAACTTAAAAATTGCCAATTCGATTCTGTACTGAGAGGACAACCGTATAATTAGAGATGAACAATTAAGGCTATAAATTATTTTTCTGATATGAAGCAATTTTAACACTGATAACTGGATGTTAATATCTCATAGGCGTCTTCCAATGTTTCCCCAACATTTCGTTACACCTGCAGACTGAAAACTGACAACAGACAACAGCTATTCTCGCAGAATCGAAGGTGAACGATTAAAATTTTTTTAAGCACACAGTGAATACACTTGTACGTTAGACAATAGTTTCATGCTGTATCAACAAATTTGCCTCAGAATTACGATAAACTCATTTTGTTCACATTGGTATCTGGCACAGAATAAAAAGCTACAGTAGCTCATAATACATAATCTCAGACCGTATGGTTATTTTCATCAATATACGATCTCAGCTGAAAACTCCCCTTTGCAAAATTACAAACTTTAAATAATAATAATAATAATAATAATAAAAGTTAGTGATCACATCAAAAGCAAATAGAAAACAAAGCATTGCTCGTTAGAATACAAAGTACTAATCGAATGTTCTCTTAACTCGTTATTACGAGAACTTAATCAAACAAATCGAAGATTGATTCACAACACTGTTGCACAAAACAGTTGTCACTGCGCAACAAAAATGACAAGACAACAATAAAGGATTCAATAAAATAAACGTTAAGGTTTGAATATTTGTACTTTATAAATTCTTTACGTGTTTTTCTTTTAACTATTTTATCTCATAGTTCCTTTTCTTCTTTGTCTTTTCAATATGCGTACCTTTGTCTTTTCAAAAAACGTAGGTACTTGAAGTAGGAAATTATCCTAAAGATACTGCAGTCTCACAACTATAGATGTGAACCACGACGTTCTCACAAATAAAAAAATTCAGTGGAGATTCAGCACATTCATGAACAAAAAAAAGTAAGCAATCGTCCTTAGTCGGAGTCAAAAGTTTTAGTGTCTTCTTTTACGGTTCAGTGCCAACTAAGCGACAAATTCAGTGCGATTTATTCTCGACTATAACTGATCGGTGCTCTACTGTAAAGTGAATTTCACGTTTTTAGAATTCCACGAACGTTTCGAACGTTACCGTGTTTATCAGTGAAAACGAAAAACTATTAAAAAGGCCGTTGTGACCGAGACACGGAATGCGACAAAGAAGAATAAGTGTTTACTTTCTTTTTTTTGAAGTGCTTAAGAGATTATCTAAAGGAATAGTTAGGTACCAGGTTCGAATCATTGGGAGTTTCGAAAAACGGAGGATTCCACTGGAAATCGGAATTCTACTGTAGAGTTTCTTTCAAAAGGGTGAGAAGCATTTAATTCTGAAAGTCTCTTAGTTTGTTTTTAAAGCAATTTTAGTTTTAAATAACTCTAGATCTGGATTGTCCACAAGGAAAACAATATAGAGTTATCAGCCGGCCATTTTCCATTATAAAATGGAAAATGCTTAATCATGAAAAATGGAATCAGCGACTTCCTTAAACCACAGTGTTTACAGCCTTACTTTCGAAGGCGATTTTGATGGCAAATGGTACAAAGCAGAGCAGGTTAGCTAAGAATCTGAAAACCAGTAATGAATAAAATGTCTATTAGTGTTGTTGCAAATGCACGCATGGGGTATTTTTTTTTAATCAAGTATATTCCAAAACTTGTGATAATTTCGGCGCATAAAAAAGTTGCCAAGCTAAGTTTGTTGTTGCGATAAGTGTATGAAAAATTTGGGGGCTGCGCTCCCGGCACAAGTTCGTCGGTAGTACTAAGTTGGATTTATTTATTTATTTAAATCAGGAAATTTACACACAATTTTAACAGCAGCTAAAAGAAAGAAAGAATCAAAAGAAAAAGGAACAAAAGCAATGAAGAGACTTGGTTACGTGTCATGTGTGTGCGTGTGCGGTGTCAAGAATAGCAAGAGGTGATATTTCCATTCTTTCTTAAACTTACTATATAGAGGACACTTACAAGAGTTCAAATCTTTGAACCAGAGAATTTAAAAGAACTTTTTTATCTAAATTAGTGAATACTCTCGGTCTAAAAAGCTAGGTTTATTCGTAAATTTTGTACTGTTATAATTGTACATATGAGAGAGCAAAGTTAGGACACCAAAGAAGACATTTGCAATGCTATCGGTTTCATTCTCAATCTTATGTGTAACTAAGGCAGCAAGTTAAGTTATCTATATTTGAGACATATTATCTAATCCAACACTTCCTAAGAACTTGCATTAAATCGGGAGCGGCACGTTACCTAACATGTGTAAAGAAGATGGTTTCACAGACACTTATGTTGCTTAAGATCAGAATACAATTTAGTCTGGTACTGCTGGCACAGCCCCAAAAAGTAATTTCATAGCTTAAATACGGATATATCAAAGCACAATATATTTGTTTCAGCATATTAAAAAAGAACAGCGAAAAGCATATCGCTATTATAGGTAATGGTAATACCTAAACATGGATGAGTTGCCAGAGTCAATGCAGACATTTTCTGACCAATAAGAATTTTGGATTCTTTCGTGTTCGATACGTCACGGACCCCTTCAACTTGTCTCAACTTGGAACTTATGGAAAGTAAACACAATGATAAAACTCCTTTTAATTGTTCAATTAATAAATGATTAAACCAATAGGAACTCTCGCCTGAAACCTGTACTAAGACACGTTTTTTCGTTATGTTAACTAGGCTAGAAGAGGACATAAAAGCTCCTGGTTGTTAAGGATTTGTCATTCATCATCCAGTGACTACAGCCTTTCAACTACAAGGTTGGTATTTAATAGTATGTTATCAAAGTAGTCTCTAGCTTTTTTATCTGTCTACTTATACTTTTACTAAGAGTTCGATTTTGTTCGTTTTTCTTTTGTTAGTAAAGTAAAGTGTAAGAATTATTTTTAAAACCGTATCTTTGTTTGTTTTTTTCGGCCTAGATGGGCACGTCGAAAAATTTCCCTTTTCCGAGTCTTTTGACTACGTGGAAGATATAATTTTTGCACACGATTTAATACAAAGGGGAATAGTCTCTTTTAACGTGGTATAAGTCACTTCATATTACAAGGCTGAGTGATAAAGATAGTATATCATTGAGAGCAGGCGATTGGATGAACTTTGAGTCTGTTCATGTTTTCGCAGAGTTTACAATCATGCAATCCTATGTGAAGATACCGCTGGCCACTACGTTAAGCTTACTGCTGTTACTACTGATCACCTTTTGTTCTGCAAACGACAACAGCAGCAAACCACGTGACAAGGTGAGTTTGTTTAATGAAAACATAAGCAGTCGGGAGGTTTTCAGTTAAAGTAAATTGTGGTAAGATAAATGAAAAGTGATACACCTGAACGAGCTTTTTACCTACAAGGATCAAAGGAAATGGTTGACTTATAGATTGTCAGAATGTTTGTCCAAAATGAGAGTTTCTGCGTTCTTTTCCATCTAAACATTAGAAAATATTTCGAGGAATATTTCCTCACCAAAACTCAGTCAAGCTTTTTAACAAGTTAGATTGGCTACCTATAGATGATATTATACGTATTAGGAAGCTTTATATGCTTCATAAAATAAATCAAGGACATTGCCGGCTTGTTTTAATAAATATATTGAACATATAAGTAACACCCATAATCATAACACGAGATCCGTTTCCAATAACAATATTACAACACCAGCTTGTAAAAGGAACTCTGGCCTTCGAACGTTTCACTCAAGCGCTTGCCGTTTGTGGAACGCTCTTGATCCCGAACCTAAGACATTCTCCCATACTAATTTTAAAAATTACTTATTTAATCTTTACCGTAGTTTGATTTCTTCTCTTGATCATTTTAAGATTTGTAAAACCTTTTAGTTTCATTGGTAGTCAATTAATCAATATTGTATTAATAGTAGTTTATTATGTAATTTTAGTTGGTAGATTATATTGGTAGTTAATTAATTAATCGATACTTTTTATTACTTTAATTGTAGGAGGGCCATTATGAAAACTACTGGGTGACCAGTAATCAATGTCTTTACCCTCGTTAAATAAAGTTATTACTTACTTACTTACTTACTTAAGGATGTTTAAGCAAAACAAATTGGTCCTACAGGGTGATAATGTATGTTGCCTTTTAAGACTTTTAATATTCTTTTAGAGTACACGTCAGCAGACCTCATTATATGGTTCCTTTGGTCATGGTGGGTGTTTCTGTGCTCCAGGAATCCCAGGCATCCCAGGAGGCCCTGGACCCGCGGGAACAGCAGGTGTTGCGGGATCACCTGGCAATCATGGACCTGAAGGACCCATGGGCCCACGAGGAAACAAAGGCGATGAAGGGGCCCGTGGAAAACAGGGACCACCAGGTCCCAAAGGAATTAAAGGTCCACCCGGTAACAAAGGTGAAGCAGGTCCTCGTGGCCCCAAGGGACCTCAAGGACCCTCAGGTTCAGCTGGTTCCCCTGGAAACAAGGGTGATACAGGTGCTCGTGGAAGTCAAGGTCCCCCAGGTCCCAAGGGACCTCAAGGACCCTCAGGTTCTGCTGGATCCCATGGAAACAAGGGTGATACAGGTGCTCGTGGAAGTCAAGGTCCCCCAGGTCCAAAGGGTGCTCCAGGATCGTTGGGTCGTAATTTAAAACAGTGCGTTTTCAAGAATCTAAACGATGGAAGGGACTCTGGATTGATCAAGGTAAAGACTCAGTTTGCAGATATAGATCAGTGATGTAAACCTGCAGTAACTTGGAGGAAAACTAAGGTCAATTTTGAAAAAGAAATTCATTTACTTTTTAATTTATTATGGAGAAATTTAATTTTCTAACAGTAAAACTGGAATCCATGACAGCCTTCAGCATTGTTCATTACGGTCAAAAGTATATTAGTCTAGTTGCTTTATTTTGGTTTGTAAGTTGCTGATTTTTTCTATTCTATTTTCAAAGGAATGTATTTTCAAGAAGATGTCAGATAATACCGGGCTTCGCGTTTTCTGGAATGGCAACCTTCGCCTCGAAGGCTGTGACAACTGCTGCAGGAGATGGTATTTCACTTTTAACGGTGCAGAGTGTTCAGCTCCAGCAGCCATTGATGGTGTAGTCTACATGAGGTTTGGAAGGGGCAGCAGACATAAGAATTTGCACCGCCCACGTCACATTGAAGGAATTTGTGACAAAATCCACAAGGGCACTGTACGCGTGGGTTTCTGGGTCGGCAATTGTGCTGGTTACGGATCCGCTGATGCTGACAACGGCTGGAACTCAGTTTCCCGGATCTACGTGGAAGAAGTACCTCCCCCACAGCCTTAATAACAGCAGATTCAGGTTTCGTTCTTAGTTGGAAGGTGATAAAAAAATTGTGGGCAGAAATAGTATTCTAGATATAAAGGACATACATAATAATAAGCACTTTTGGTATTACAAACAAGCACAGTTAAATTGAGAATAGCCGTAACTGTTTAAAGAAAGGTTAAGGGTAAAAGATCATTTTTGATACGGAAGAACTGAAAACCATGTAATGAATCTGCAAATGCTAAATAAAGCCACCAAAAGACATAAAATGGAAGTTTCTTTGAGTGAGTGGGGCACTGTTACGGGAATTCTTGAAATAAGTTCTAATATTTCCAGTTCCGTGGCCAGAAGAGGGCTTAGGGGTAGGTGCTGATGTAATTAAATTTGAATGAAGCTTGTCTCTTCTGTAAAGAAAGGCGATGGGTTAAAGCCATTTGCAATATAAAAGAAATGCGCAAGTAAATAATCTGCAGCTAAAGATTCGAAAAGGTGCTTCATAGCATAAAACAGGTTTATACGTACAAACCCGTTTTTTTTTATTTTGAATTCAATGTCGATCATAATCAATAGAGAAATGTTGAAATTTATAATAAGGACTGAAGGGAGGCGGTTAGTTCTAAGACAATATCCTTTTTATTAAGACACGTCCTAAACCTCCAGAATAGATTTGTAGAGACGAGTTGTTGGTCCAACATCCCTTCCACTTCCAATCATTCAATTGTCATTCTGCGGTAACACCCAACCGAAGGAAGATTGGAACGACATGATGGCCATAAATAAAATACATACACCTCTTTCTAGTTTTAAGAAGTACGTATTAAACCCCCCTTTTTATCTCTAACAGAAGTGAGATCGTTAAACTTTCTTTTACGTGTCATTGCCTGTCATCCCTAGAATAAAGGGATTTATACTATACTGTCCAATAAACAGAACGAAATCTAATTTCACTGAGCTGGGGAGAAGGATTATCAAGAAAGGATATCAAGCTGCTTAGATCGGCAAGAAAAGAAAAGGAGACACCTTCTATTTGCAGCCCATCTCTAATTCAACAACTGTCACGAATACCTGTTGAGCTAGAATTGGAAGTGTGGGCGCTGGGGACGAGATTAAAGCAAACAATGACGGAGGGAGCCCTGGAAACGAGATTTTCTCTGGTGGATTTTGAGATGTCAAATTTTGATTTTATTACTTAGCAAAAACATTTGAGCATTATTAGAAGGGAAAGGGGGAGTAGAAAGACACAAAGTAAGCAAATTGCTGGTTTGCTATCACTGTCACGCTATCAAAAATCAAAATCAAAACCGTTCACCAGATATACAGTCCAGAATCTGAGAAATATAGGGGAATAAGTACCTTAAGATCCTTACCAAGCCTGTTAAGGTCATTGGAATGTTTCACATGCCAGATATTCGGAGAAACAGATTTACACTCGAAGTTCTCGTAAGCGACCACTTCGGAAATTCGAAAAAGTGGTCTTAACTAGAGCTGGTCGCTTACGAGAATGAGCTCTCGTAAGCGACCGCATGTAAAACAAAAAAAATAAAGGTTAAATGAGTGTCTTTATATATCAGATATAGACACGGCTAAGCTTTACATCCAATGTTTTATACCATTAGCACAGATAGCACAGTGTGCAGTTTCATTGAAGCCATTAAAGTGTGTATTTATCAGTTATAATAAGACTCTGAGTGGTCGCTAACGAGAGCTTACAACAAAGGAAAAGTCCAGTTGGGTAATTCCAAAGTGGTCGCGGTCGCTTACGAGAGCTTTTTATTACAAAGTTTAAGTCACAGTTCAAACGGGGTTTCACAAAGGTGGTCGTAGCTAGAGCTGGTCGTTTACGACAATGGTCGCAAGGAGAGCTTCGACTGTCACAGTTCGTGATCAAATTTAGAGACCTTTGCATTGGGGGCACCAACATGGCGACCGGAACCTAACTGAAACAACTGTCATTGAGTTTTGCTAAGAAAGCGTGAATTCATCTCTCGAGGAACTAATAAACATTAAAGTCATACTTTGTCTGATGTGACAACTGTTCACACAGCAAAATCCCTCCATATAAGTCACTTTTTCAACCTCAGCTCATTTGGCCGCCATCACGCAAAAGCTTAGAAATTCAAGCTCACTGCATAAAACGAAGAACTCTTTCGAAGTGCAAATTTGTTGGAATATTCGCTTTTTGATGACGTCATGTGAAAATCAGCAATAATCCAGTTTACTATGAAAGAGGCTATTTTTCAGTCGTTTTGGCTCGTTTTTTTCTTTCATCTGATGCGAAGAAGTTGAATAGACTCAACAGTATTCAAATTTCAAACCAAAGCTAACCAAATAAACAAACGACAAGTAGAGCTCTTGTTCAGGATAGAAGAATTTTGCAGTCTAGTGATTTCACAGTTTGTTTCTCGAGATATCTAATGATGACTTTAAAGGAGAAGTAAAGTTGAAAAATCACAAACGCTGTATGATAAAACTGAATTGAACTTGCGAGTATAATTTCTAATTGAAAATTAGCATTTCACTTAGTAATAGTGACAATAAACAATTTAGATCTTGATTCTTCTGTAATAACAGATCGATGTTATTTGAATGGTCAAATCAGCGAATATTTCATTTGTATTAGCCAATCACACTTCATATTCATACCACTAACCCATTACCCATTAATCAGCACTCGATATGTTGTTCTTTCTTATTAACGCGATCTGACAAGAATCTTATTAAACATATGCGCTAAAAACAAAACAAAAATAATTGCTTTATTTTTGGTATAAGCAGATAACTCATACATTTGAATGGGTATTTAGAAATGGCGCAGTCTTGGAGCGAAGGGTTTAAGTCTTGAGAAGAAGGAAAGAAGAAATGTAACACACCCTAACAACATCGAGACTTGAGACGCATCGTCAACGCTTCCGAGATTTCGAGATTAGTTCCTAGTTTGCCAAGTCTCGAATTTCTAGGAACTACCCTTCATCCCTTTTTTGCATGGTAACAGTTTACATTATTTATTACTGTTGATATGTGGATTATATTATTTACTTGCTATGTTTCATTTTCTATATTTTTCTTTGACTGTTTAAGGTTCAACTTCCTTGCTGAAGCGGTTATGCATCCAATTACCCAAAGGTAAGTGAGTTTATTTATTTTCCGATGACGCGTATTTTTTGTTTTTTTTGTTTTTCAAACCATTATCTGTTCGTATATGATAAAACTACTAGTATGAACTATTTAAAAAGAAATTCATATCTGCCGATATCAATTATTATGGGGTAAATTCATAAACTTTGGCTCCCTTTAAATAGGAATCTGGCGGTATTTCTATATCTACTGAATATCACTGAATCGAGGTATTTTTCATTCTAGATTAACTTTTTTACTCCTATGTTCAATTACGGAGATTTTTATTGTACTTCTGAGTCTTTTGCGTTTGTGGACCGAATATTACGTTTGCGAAATTGATCAACAATGGAAACGGCATGTACATCATGCGCAAAAGAAGGTCACCAGTATCAAGAGAATTATCTGCTTCATTTTAATAGCATTTTAATAAATTACAAACTGGTGTTGGAAGAACTCGATGTTTTGGGGGAGGAGTATGAAAGGCCTGCAAGGTGTCGTAAATGATATCGACAATTTTGGGACTTTTTTGGAGGTCTGATCACTTTTGTAAGAGGACGACTGGGTGTTTCTTGGTGTTGCGGAAACTATTGTTTGTTAGCTTTTGTGTTGTGGTGTGGGTATTGTTCAGTGTCTTTTCAATCTTTTGTATTACGTCATTGGTGTCCGCAACACCAAGAAACCACCGGACGACTGGATGATCAGATACTGAACAGTTATGGCTGAACGTCTCATGGTTTACTACTGACATACAACAGGCTGGATCATGATTTCTGTTTCTCCAGCTTTTCGTTATTACTGAACTGTCGAATTACTCAAGCTGTTATGATAGCAGAACTGCTTGAAGGTAAATTATGAAAATTATTACATAGCAAATGTACTCAGTGTACACGTACTACTTTTACGTTCAATATTTTAACATCCGTTTTGTGCTGATAGAGAGACATAAACGAATTTGGCTCAGAATCACGATAAACTCATTTTTTTCATCACATTGTGTCTTAAATGTAAAATTTAAAGCTCAGTCTATAAATTTGTTGATGAAACTGATGGCGAGATACATTCTTGAGAGAAAGAAGTAGAAAAAACTTATTAAAATAACTTAATAATATATAACTCATAATACGTAGTCCCAAACTGTGATGTTATCATCTCTAATATATATAACTGCCTTAAATTCTCAGCTTAACCTTGGTGTGAAATTTCAAACCTTTATTTTTCACTGAATTAAAGAATCACACCAAGTCAGGTCTTAGAATTATCACAAAAGCAATGCGGAAATAAGAAACAAAATATCATTAGACGACTCCCGCACTGACAAAGCCGAAAAGTAGTATCCAATAGCATTTCTTGTTAAAATAATAGCAGAATGTTCTCTTAACTTGTTACTACGAGAACGTAATTAATCAAACAAACCACAGCCGGAGTGATTCATATCATTGTAGCACAGAATAGTCAGCAACAAAAAAGACAACAAGAATTAAGGATTCACGATAACAACAGCGTAGGTTCGCATACTTGTACTTTGTCAATTCTTACATGTTACATCATTCCTTTCTCCTCCTTCTTCTTCTTTGTACTCTGTTGGCAGAACTCAACGAATACGTAGGTAGATGAGCACTCTCATGATACGAAAGACGTTTTCTGTTAAAAAGGCGACTGAGTTTAAGTTGGCAACGGCGAAAAAGCCTTTTCTCTCAGTTATAAATATTAAATATTAAATCATCTGCAAGTCAGGGTCTGTTTTTACAAGTGACTTTTAATTTCGTGTAAGCGAATTATTATTGAGTTCCTTGGTAAAGTGTGCGGTTCAGCCTTTTTAGAATTCCTCAAATTTTTCTCGAGGTTGCCGACTGTTTATAAGAGGAAAATACGTAGGCCGCATGTGCTGTGATTAAGAAAAG